ATCATTTCCCTCCTACCATCTCTTGTTCGAACTCATCGGAAGGAGCCATGCGAGCCTGGACCCACTGCGATGAAATGCTGGATGCTGCGGACAGGGCGGCTGTGAGTGGGCAGTGGTGTTGTTTGGATTTCTAGCTAGAAGTTTTGCTCGTCAGTTCACAGATTTTTTGAATATGCTAACATCGGTTTGCGCAGGAGACGGGGATTAAGCCACGAGTTGAACAAGCCAAGAACTCGTAAGCTAGCCCTATCAGCTATGGTCTAACTTATTTAGGTTAGCCCAGCTCTTGCCTTTATGTCATCATAAGCCATCCATTCTCCCAACCTCATTTCGCAGGAAGCAGAAAACTTGACCTCGCTAAGTGCGCCACTTGACCTCGTTACATAATCATGACCCCGACCTCGCACAATACAGTAATAATCAGTTGGTAATTGACTTTCAATCTTTCAATCCACTCATAGTCTCATTCATTCAGCTCATCAATCAATCAAAGCATGTATAGCTGATTCATAATTAATTAAATGAATAGATAAATTCATATAGAATATAAAGAGATATTTTACAGAATTTTAAAATATATTAAAATAAAAATATTTAATAATTGATTTTAAATTGATTTTAAATTGATTCTGAATTGATTCTGAATTGATTATAGTAATAAAAATAGATTTAATCTATATATTTAAGTAATTAACAATTGATTGAAAATCAATTAATAATCAATTCAGTGTAAATTATATAAATACTTACTTTATTATTAAATTCAAGAATAATTTCAGTATTAAATTGATTTTAAATTGATTTTAAATTGATTTTGAATTGATTGTAGAATTGATGATAAATAATTGAGTGGTTTCAAATTACAAGAAAAGATGTATTGAGCGAGGTCAGGTAGTGGCACGGGCCACATTTGCGAGGTCAGCTTACATAACGAGGTCAAGTGGCGCACTTAGCGAGGTCAAGTTTTCTGTATACACCTCATTTCGCTGCCAGTTCTTCATCCAATTCATCATACTGAAGTCTTTGATGTCAATTAATTTGCGTCGAGCAGACATGGTGCTGGTTGAGCATGGGCTCTTAGAGCCGCCTGACCTCTCAATGGTAATACCGCCTTCACCATCTCTATCTTCCTAATGGTAATTAACGTTCTCTAGATCATAAACAATCATGACCAGCTTCAGCCCACTCCCCAACAGCTGGAAGTTGCAATGGAAAGATCTCAGGATTACTGGTATCATCTTACTGCAATGGCAGTTACCCGGCACTGCAAAGGAATTCCGCCTATCTTAACGAGCCTTCGAGGCACCCTAAACTGCCTCCCCACAATCAGCACAAGGCAAGGCAAAACAATGATACTGCATCTTGATTCATCCCCGAGTGAAACACTTTGCATTCAAGCCTCATCTACCTGGCACATTACCGGCACGGCAAAATGTGGCGTTGTTGGGAAAAAGAGAGATATTCCCAGACTACTTCATATAGGCAGCCGCACACTCATTCCATGCGAGTTTGGCGGGAAGAGCTTTCATCAATGGCCTAGTATTTCAGGCGAGGGAAACAGAGCACCAAGTTACCTGGGAATTTTAGCCCTAGGCTGGTCATACATTCTCTCTGCTCGGTTGTTGAAGTTGCAAGTGAAGAACTGCGAAATGGCATATACAGACTTGAAGCACACAAGGATTCAGCAGAGCAAGAGCCACGGTTCCTCGTCGGTCACTATTGATATTGGCAAGGTGGATGAAGATGTAGCGAGATGGTGGTCAGCTCTCTTGGCACCTGGCCAAGGTTGGAAAGCCATCATATCTCAACAGATGGATCAAGAGTTTGTGACGCCTTGGTCTGTCTCAATAAACATATGCGTGATATCGAAATCAGATGGGAATTGAAGGAGCCGGTTTTCAAAGATGTTGCTGCTTCCAGTCCTCCATCATTCAACAAGGCATTTGAGTTCCTTGTGCAGTTCTCCCAACAACATAATTTGGACAGCCAGCTGCCTGTTGCTCTTGCAACAGCATTGACATTTCCTGCACACAACTACCATGGCACTGCTATTCAACTACCCCTTCCATTGCCTCTTCCTGCCAATAACCATGCCCAACAGGGAGTCGACTCCGCCAATTCCACTGCTCTGGGCTGGCCAACTGTGGACAAAGAACTTTCTTACTACATGACTCTGAGTTGCAGCCTGGAAACACTTACATCAACTCTTTGCGGAATGTTCTGGGAGCCTACCGTCACATGCAATATGGTGAGCCCGTGGCTTCACCCCATCCTCCAAGAAATTCCAGAATGCCCAAGATTTTCTTCCACTCCTGGGGCTCTACTACGAAATCCTCGCAGTCATATGCAGCTTTCATCAACCACAATATTCACCCTCTGGCTCGGTGCCGTTACCAGCGGGTCTGACCCCAATTATTCTTTGTCAGTTCAAAGGGGCAGGGCCTCCTGTTGGACGCCAAGTTCGTTTCCCTGGGACAGGGATGGCCGGCAGAGGTTTATGAATCTGCCTGAGGGACAGGGTCGAGATATGCTTGGATGAATAGATCTAATGAGGTCCAAAGAGCCGATGTGTGGCGTCTTCTGTACCTCCCCCCTGTTGTTGACGATGGATTATATTATAACAGTCCGCTGTTCACCCCGTGGGCTCCATTCGGGAGCACCACTGCCGGCCAATGTGTGTTGCGCGTTGCCGCTCATCTGCGGTGCCCAAGGCACCATCTTGAGTATGCACAATGGAATTGGATATTGGAGAATGGGTCAATAGTTGAAGGCCAAGAATATGACAAAACATCTAGTGACAGATTGGACGAAAGTAGCACAGCTATCAACATGTTGGATACAGTCTTCCCATGAAAATCTCCCAGCCAAGAGGCGTCTCAGGAAGCGTCGCTTGACTTATTTCAATGGGTTATGATTAACAGTGAAGGAACACCGCCCGAGAAAATATATAGAGACGAGTGGCTCCAACTTGAAGATGAGAGTGACAAAGAGACAGGTATGTCTGATGACAAAAACAGTGCGAGCCATGCTTCAGATGAACACTTAAAAGGACTTGAAGAGTGGCTTGACCAACCCACGGCACCCTCACCAGTCCCAAGCTTTGACAAAGGTGCTTGCATGGAAACTGGTGCTGGCTAGCCCGACAGTTCTGGAGAACTTCCCCAAAAGTCGGGCTTGCCACCAGGGTGAGAATGACATCTCTTGCAGATCCTGTAATGCACTTCATTGCAATTAAGACGTACTTGACAGCGCTTCCACTGGGTTTGGCAGTTCAGGGCCTGGCTTCCACTGGGTTCAGCAGTTCAGGGCCCGGCATGTCTCATATGCGTGCTCATTGTTCGCATGCTGGCATTCGACTGCCTTGCACCAACCACTTCTACCAGAGGTGGTACTCATTGTCGGTGGTATCTGTTCCTTAGATTATTACTCTATCTCACCCCTAATTTCCGGAAATCCTTACTTCACAACTTGCTTTGTTGATTATTGTGTAAACTAGTGAGGATCACTGTCGATTCTACTGTTCAGATAATGCTTCATCTCAAGTTAGATGAAATCACTGATTCATGAGTTCTGTCAAAAACATACAGGTTGAAGGAGCTTTGATGAACTGAGAAGCAGAGGCAAAGTTTGTGAGATGATCACCAAACAAGAGGTTGAAATAAATCTTCCGCCCGACGAAAAGCCGCAAAATCAAGAAATGTGGCCCCCATTTATCTGAACCTGGGCCGACGAAGGGCGCTCAGATGAGCATCGCCGACCGCGCCTCATGTCTCGCTGGCTTGATGTTCAAGCCGTTTAGCTTCAAGTAGCTGGGCAAAAGTGGTCACATCCTGAGCGATCAGACCTCGCCAAGATGTACTAATTGCTGGAATAAACCAATGCCAACCAGACTGCGCTTTCTTGGCTGGTGAATCCAAAGGCATGTAGCGCCTGCACCTAATCTTGAACATCGGCCCATTTTGAGCACCGCGGATCAAGCCGGACAGCCCGTGAGAGTCTGTATTGAGAAATGCATTGTGGGGCTTCCCTTTCAAATGTCAGGCTTGGCCAGTAATGCTGAGGAGAGACCAAATCATCTGTTCCTCACATCAATCCGCACTACTTTCAAAAATGGATGACTGTCATTCAGGCAGTGTACATTCAACAAGAACTGAGAGTGCCTGTCTCTGAAAACATTTCTTGGTAGGAAGCACAGCTGCTTCTGCCTCTGTTTTGTAAAAGTGAGCCTGAAGACACTCATGCTGACTATCTTATGCTTGCTCCGCTCCATGAATTGGCGAATGCTTGAATAATGCTAAACTAAGCCTAATGTTTGTAATCACTGTAAAGCTGGAAGGCGGGTTTTGCTCCTTGATCTGTTTGGTTGACTTCTCAGCTCTGTTTTATTCTATGGCTCTGGCACTATTAACACTGTTTTGTGTAGAACCACAGTACATGGTCGGTGAGCCAGAGGAAGCGCAAGACTTATCCTCTCTGAAAGCTGACAGTTCTCACCGAGCTGCTCCTTGCGGCAGAGAAAGCTACATGCCATTCACCCATGAATACTCTCTTTTCAAGCCGGCTTCGTCCCATTCCTTGTTTACCCACCCTTCCACATCATTTACCGCGTCGGTGGGCGACTGCTTGCGCTCCAGCAGAAAAGATAAGATCTTGGCTGAGCTGAAGGCCAGCGCCGGCACCTTTGCAACAAACTCTTGTGCAAGTTGTTCCACAGTTGCATTGTCTACCCGTGTTTCGGGGTTGCGGTAATCCTCATCTGACTGCTTGAAGACATTGCAAAAAAGGCAGAAACTCATGTCCTTGTCAGTGAGCTGGAAGAAAACCTTTCTGTCCACACGCCCCAGCCGTATCAGTGCGCTGTCCAGGCGTTCAATATAATTGGTGGTCATAATCAGCACCCGACCTTCCTGGGATGACACGCCATCCAGAGCATTGAGAAGGCCAGACAGGGATAATGTTTCTGCTCTGCTATTCTTTGGAGAGACTGTTGTAATCAAGCTGGAGCTTTCAGGAGTTTCATCACTGCCTTCAGCACGCGTCGTGCCAGCAGCATCGACATCTTCCAGGAGAACGACACAGTGCAGAGGAAGCTGAGCAAATAAATTGGTCAAGGAGCCGTCGTTAACACCCGAAAGATTGACCACATAGATATCCAACTCAAAACTCCCGGCGACGGACAAGCTGAAACTGAATTTCCCAGTCCCGGGAGGTCCGTACAAAAGGAACTCTCTTTGGTAGAGAATTCCCCGCCTTGCGTACCAGCCTCGAGTTTTCTTATCCAGGAAATCCTCAATGTCCTTTAGAAGCTCTGTCTTCTCCCCGTCATCCATGATGACTGTCGAAATGGGCCTCATGTCTCTTGCCTTTGCCTTCCTCCACTCCCCATCATGGTGCTCAAAAACTGACATCTTTTTCTGAATAAGCTTCAGATACTCCTTTCGACAATCATCGAAGAATTCTCTTAGAATTTCTGAGGATTCACTGATCGAGAAGACAGTGATTTCCTGCTGTGTGGAGCCACATTCTTTCTCCGAGCATTGGAACTGAAGCAAGTAGTTCTTGTACCAAAAGCGAAATGACCCATTCCAGGGTGAAAAGTGCAGAGGTTTCTTCATCCGTTTGTTTGAATCATCATCAGTGTATGCCCTCCTATGCTTGGCACCAACACTGACAAGAGAGGAGCGTGCATTGCGGGCGAATGACTGCTTGGATACCCAGGTAACAAGCATATCATATGCCTCATTGTAGTAGGAAACGTGCATGGTTGAAGCTTCGAGAGTTAGTCTCAGCAGCCATCAAGAGTGGGTTAATGAGAAGAGGCATGAACTGAACTGAGTCTCCACCAATTCCATCAAGTATCAATAGACATATCAAACAAGGAACAGGAAGATCCCGCATATGCACAGTAGATGAGCAAAGCCATCTGTGTTGCCGGCTAGAATCCCTTGAATGAAGGCTAAGATACCAGTGAAACTGGGGAAGAAGGCATCCACAATGGAGATCGGGGTGAGGATTGAGTGAATGGGAAGGTGAGTGGCACCATTGAAAGTGTTCATGGTGAAGTAGGAGGCAGGTGCGGCACCTATGTCCAATGGTGTAGGCAAATGTGATACACGATAATTTCCCTCTCAAGAAGAAAAAGCACTTGTTCAGTCACCAGTGTTAGGGAAACATCCTTCCTTATATGCTATTTCGTTGACAATTCCCCGCACATTTCTTTCCACATTGCTATCTACTTTCAAAATGCGAGGCTGTCGCCATGACTTTCTTGCTAGCAATGTACCAAACTCTGCCTGGCAATTCGCATCCACACCAGTCTCAACCACGCGGAGTTTTAGAAAAGAATGAAGCATGCAGATACAGCACAAGAACCGTTCAACAGACTTGCTATTGATTGGTGAATATGCAATGCAACAGTTCTCGCACCTTGCCCACAGCTTCTTTGACTTGCAGAAGAAATGTACTCTTCCGTAAAAAGATCAATAGGCCCAAGCTCCATGATCGCACAGTCAGCCTGGTTGATGCTGCGGGACGCTAATGAGGGCATCAGCATCATGATTGGCCATCATTACCCAAAGCATCAATGAAAACTTCAATTCAATCCTTGTAATTGAGAATCTCAGTCTTCGTGCATTATTCAGTTTCCACTCCCTACTAGTGACATATCTAACCAAACTAACTTTTCGTCTTGAATGAGCGGGTACCAGATCAAGGTGTCTTTTGATTGGATACCCATCTTCTCATATGAGGAACTATGCGAGTTGCCAAACCTTCCAGAGAGAAGTGAGGCACTCTTTCAGAATGGCCACTCTAGAAGAAATAATCACGCAAATTGACCAGATCAGCAAGCGCATATGTGAGATTGATTTGGATGACTCGGCATTTAGCAAGTTAAAAGACAAAATTGCATGGCTATCTGCCCGGACCTCAGTCTATCACTCATTGAAAGGCCTTGCCAAGCATCTGCGAAAATCCTCTCCCCTTCCTCACAGGAATGGAAGGTTCAGCAAATTTCTGGAAGTCCTGTACAGGAGTCAAGCAAAATCTATCTCAGCTCATGTATTACAATGGGAAAAGATACGCGGCCTATCGCCCGAGGCTTTGCTACTCATTGCGGGAGCCTATACTTCACTGGATATCACAAAAATGGGTCGCGTCGAATTCGAATGTTTGATGAACTACACAAAACCATACCTGGATGCAAGGCCTTTGCCTGAAAAATGGATATTTCGTCGGGAGATTCAAATGGCAATAGCAGCTAGCTCTGATTTAGAAAACATATCTGAGTTCAGGAAATGTGCGGCTCCGAATCCAATCTCTGAGAAACAGACTGATGAAGTTAGGGTACTTCAAGCTCGAGTTCAACACTGAAGTTGAGGGTGATAAGTGCCACAGGAAGTGACACCGCGATGATTCGCCTCTGCAAGACGAGGCATCAGATGGCCACACGAATGACAGTCTCGATTCACAATTGCATTTACGCCATGGCAGGATGGTGCAGAGTACAAACTCATGCATACCAGATCAGCAAAACTACTTGCGGGAGCCAGAAGCTGGATCTCGATCACCGAGTAGTGTAGCGGAGGCACAGAACACGCAGGTATCTGGTGCACAGCTGGTCGCCGGGAAGCAAACACAGAATACAAGAGGTAACGCAATACCAGATGCATTGAAACAATTCTAACAATACAATAATGCAGAAATTCAATATATGTTCTCAAAATCCCCAGCCAATCTCGCACCCCTCCTTGGGGACTTATTATCCGATGCAATGCGCGCTAGTAATCAATGGGCTTCAGAACAAAGAGCAGGGGAATCAACAACAGAATGTTTGACGGTCTTGATACCCGAAGAGGTAGAAGAGGATATTTCCATCACACTTTGGGCTGGTCGAAGACAGGCAGATCGAATCATTGAGATATTCAGGATGCGGAGGACCTGGTCAGCGTCACCCAGCCGTCTATCACTTCCACCTCATGGTTCTTAGGAATTTGGAATGGCTCCTCCGTCTTGATATCTCTCTTGTCCGGTAGCTGGGGGTTTTTTGCGGTCCCGGGTTTTGATACTCGGAGCAGTGCGCCTTTGAACATCATGGTTCTTTCATAGTTAACTGCATTAAATATTTTGAAGGCTATATATTGTTGTTGCTCTATTATGTCTCCAATCTAGGTCACAACTCGCGATTAGCTTGGGTAGCACTCTTAGATTTCAGAATATGTACCGCTTCAGCCATTGTTTTAGTGTGGAGAGGGGCCCGTTGAAAACTGATCTATTAGATGTTAATAGATGGCGCTGGTGGTTTTGAGTTAACATCGTACCAAACTTAAGCACACTTTGGAGTCAGCAGCTGACAGAAAGGGTTGATTTTATCCTAAGTGATTGTACAGTCAGACGGACTTTGATATATCTGATGACAGTAAAATTTTCTTGTTGAATGGAGGGGCAAGACATTCAGAACCGTAAAAAAGCAGATCTTGCTGCGGGGCAATACTTTGGATCCTCTTGGTTTCCTGATGACAACATGCATGTGACCTTGCTCAGGCAGCAATGCATGAAAGTCTGCGTGCGATGCTTGGGCCAGTCGGACGCAGTGTGGTTCCTACAGAAATTTTCAATATCGACCCATTTTTGAGAAATCCAAACTTGGCACTGGATGAAGGTTTCTCCACCACTATCAAAAGGACTATCGGCGTAGCCCAGGGTTTTACAAACCCCTAGAGGTTACAATGAAAGACAGGTGAGGGTAAAGTACGCCACTCCATGTATAAGGAGCACATGCCCGCTTCTTAATTCCCTGATAATAAAAAACCTCGAGAGCAACCCTTCCGTTTGATAGCTTGCTCCCATGAATGGCCTCCTTTCACAATACTGCAGCAAACTGCTCCTTCATCCTGTCTGCCTTCTTCAGTTTATCCAGTCTGCCCTCTATGATGACTGGATACCCCAGTTCTCACCAACACGCTCTCTCCAGACCAGTCAAATTGAGTGTGAACACATATCAGTGGTCGGAGCCGGTGCAGCATACCCCATCCCTAGATGATTGTGAAGCAGCTGAGAAGCGCCAGTCTGTCTGGTCCGCATTCTGGCTTGAAGAAGGCCCCAAAGCCCATGTCTCGCCACACTGCTCCTTTGCAAAGCGATTTCTACAGCGGCTTTCAGCCCTCAAACAAAAGTTCCTATCATGCGTGCAGAGCATGTGGGCAGCAATCAACTCAGCCTGCTAGAGGATTTATATCAGCTTTGGCTGAATGCACAGGCTCTAGTCACTGTCTTCATGTAATATGTACTCATGAATTTTCTGTGATTCAATTCATGAACTCCCCGGGAAGCCCATCTGTCAGTAGCAGTGAGACACTTCTAACCCTGAAAGACATGAGTCTCTCTCAGTCCGTTGCCCTCCACACCCTCAATACATCAATCTGAGAAGCTGTAAGAAATCCCGCTCCTCGCGGATCCTTTACCCCTATTCCTATCTCTCACATAACCAATAGGGCTAGCAGCCCTTGGCTACACACAACTATATAGACTGGAGTTTGCAAATACTATTCATAACTCAGCTTGAATACTATTATATATTTAATCTCTACATTTTATCTTTCTATTATAAATACTTCTAGTAGTTAACAGTATATATCATATTAAGTTGTAAATACTTGAATAATCATCTATAAGTATTTATTCTTATATTTTAAGCTCAGTCAGTCAGCAATCATCTGTTATAACTGAAAGAACTAGAAACTTATATACTTCAATCTCTGTGAATTCTACTGTAGATACTCAGAAGCAGTTATCTGAATTATAAATAACTTTTATAAAAGAAGTCTCAGAGAACTTATTAATTATTTATAAGATATTATTCTCTATATCTATGACAGAGAAACTCTTTAAATTTATAAATAAATCAATCTCAGTGAAGAATATTCTTGAGTATCTTCTACAGAATTAAGCTATTTTTCTATAAGAAATACTTACTATCTGTAAATACTCTTGAACTGAGTCTCTAGACATAATCTTCAGAGATACTTATAAACTGAAAAGAAACTTTCTTAAGCTATAATTACTTAAGATTACTTATTGAATCATAATTTATAAAAGCTTTTATAAGTTTGTATTTAAAATTAACTTATAAGCTCAGCTGTGTGATATAAAAGATGAAGAAGCTGTTATCTATATAATAACAGATCTCTATTATATTAAAATCAAGAACTGACTGAATTATTTAGAGAATAATTATAAGAGATTTCACTAATCTATTCTTAAGATCTATCTAGAGAATAAGTTAAGAGACTTTATAAGCTGAATAGAGAATATCTGAGTTATAATTATTAATATTAGAAAAAAAGATAAGAAATGTGATAAAGACTACTTACAGTACTTTATAAAATTATAATATGAATTAGAGTCTATGAAAATAGAACTCTGAAATAAGATATAAATAATAATATTTATAAAGAGACTGAATAAAGATATATAGAATAAGCTTATTAAATAAGACTCTAAGTTCTTAACTCTAAAGAAATTAATAACTCTTATTTATTACTTATAAATTACTATAAGAGTTACAGATCTGTGAAGAGTAGATTATTAACTGACTCTGTAAGAGTTAGAATAATAGAGAACAGATTTATTAGAAAAAGATAATAAGATATAGAGAGATTTATATCTGATTACTAAGTAGAGAGAGAGAGCTTTATAAGCTTCTATAAATAAAGTATATAATAGAGAGACTAAGAAAAAGAGACTTTATTTTATCTATTTTAAATCAGAACATCTTCATATAAACTGTTCAGATAAATTAAAATAGAAATTTAAAAAGTTATAAATAGAGTTAGTAACAGTCTTCTTAAGAGTTTTAAAGCTAATATCTGAATCTGTTACTCTTCTGATAAAAATACTCACTTATAGAGAGAAACTGCACTGCAGTACTACTACTCTATAAGTATAAGAAGTATTAATAAACTCAGAATCTCAGATTACTATAATATTTCTAAAACTCACAGAGTGAATAAACTAAAAGATGAAAACTAAGAATCTGCTCTTATAATAAACAGAGTATAAGAACTCAGATCTAAGAGTTAAAAGACTTATAAAAGTTATCTTTGAATTATAAAATCTCTCTAAAATCTGAAGAAGATTTACAGAAACTATGATTATTATAAATATTATAAATAATATATATTTAAAACTTATATAACTTTAAAGACATAATTTATACATAGCTGTCTATAAGTCAGGTTTATACTTCTGATCAGTGTTAATAGACTTACTTATAGAGATAGAATCAGTTGATACTGTAGAGTTAATTAAAGAAGATAAGCTTATCTATATAATAACTTTATAAGTATCTAAGAATCTTATAATTATGAAAACTGAGCTTCAGATATCAGAGAAATACTGAGATCTTATAGAGATATTCAGCTCAGTAAAGATAGCTGAGCTTTCTTCTTACTATAAAAAGAATCTGATAATAGATTTAATAGAAGAATAGAAACTCTTCTGAGAATTAATCTATAAACTCTCTTATTATAAGACAGAGATCTTACAGATCTATATAAAGAAGAATCTGAAGAATAACTTTATTCAATCTTTACAGATCTTTATAGAAGTCTTTATAATATTTATAAAGAAGAAGAATAAAGATCTCAGATTATATATAGACTATTATAATCTGAACTTTAAGATAATAAAGAGCTATTATTCTCTATCTCTGATTAAGAATGTGATTAACTGTTTTATAAGAGCTGTTATATTTATATAACTGAATATAATTAATATATATATATAACTGTAAATATAATTTAAGAATAAATAAAAGACTGTCTTTAGAACTGCACTGAGATTGTTTAAATATCTAGTAATGTCTTTTAATCTAACTAATACTCTTATAGTATTTCAGTCTTTTATTAATAAAATACTTCATATATATCTGAATATCTTTATAATAATATATCTGAATGATGTAATGATATACTCTGTAAAGAAGAAAGAACACACTGAGTATATATAAAGTATATTAAAGATCTTAGATAAGACAGAACTGTATATTAAGCTTATAAAGTATAACTTCAGTGCTTATTAAATTAATTTTCTAGAATATATAATTACTGTAGATAATATTCAGATAAAATCTTTACAGATTAAGACTATTCTATTATAACTAAAGTTAACTAGTATTTATAAGATTCAGATCTTTCTAAGCTTTGTGAATTTTTATAGATAATTTATCTTTATATTTATAAGAATCTTCTTGACTCTTACAGATATACTGAAGAATGAAAATAAAAAGAAGTTATTCTATAAATAAAGAATGAAAAGATTATTAAGAAGAAAGAATTATAAGAACTTTCTTATCTCAGAAGCTTATAAGATCTTTATAAGATTGAAATAGATATTCATAGATACAGTGATACTATTTTACTTTAATTTCTTACTCTTAATCAGATTAAAGACAGATATCTTCTTCTTTATAATTTCAGAAATAGTCTTATAACTACAGTTAAATGAGAACTGAGTTTCAGTGATCTTTTTCTTATAAAAGATATAACTTATAGAGATTAACTATAATATTTATAATCAGAAGCTTCTTATAATAGTGAAATTCTTCTATTACTGATATCACTATTTCAAGAATCTTATAACAGTGATTACTGTTAAAACTGATTATAATAGCTTATAATAGTTTACTTCAATCAAGAAACTCTTATAACAGTAGGTTTACTAAGCTCAGAGACTGAGTAAGTTCTAATTCAAGATAGAATATATCAAGAGAATTAAGAACTTAACAGATAAACTCTCTCACAGATCAGACTATATTAAGAAAATCAGAGTGACAGATATAGAGAGATTAGAGAAGATAGAAAAGCTTCACAGAATACTCAGACTGAGTATTATAAAGAGATTAACTAAAGAGTCTCTCAATTCTTTATAAGAGAAGAGAGAGAAGAGAGAGAAGAAGTCTATACAACTACTCTCTATAATACTGAGAGTTAACACTCTGAAAATCTTTATAAGAATTCTTGAAGAGAGTATCTATAATCTGAAGAGTTTGCAGACTTTGAGAAGTACTATGAAAGATCTGATATAAGAGAAAACAGAGTATAAGTCTTTATAAGATCTTCTATCTAGATTGTCTGAACTGTAACTGAAGAATGAATATACTCAGTATATTCAGAAACTGCTTATAACAGAGATTAATTCTGCAGAAATAAAGAATTGAGAAAACTTAAATAATCTCTTATAAAGAGAGAGCTGAATTTATATATCTATGAATAAGTTTCTATATATAGAACTTATTAAAAGATATTATAACTCTTCTCTAACAGGTCATTTTACAGATACTAAAACTTATAAGTTACTTATAAGAAAATACTTCTGACTGAAGATGCAAGAACTTATGAAGAAGATAGTGAATTCTTATACTATTTATCAGAATTCATGAATAATGCAGTTCAGACTATATAAAGAACTTACTTCTCTACTTATTTTATAAAAATCTTAAAAACAGCTAGAAATGAATACTCTTATAAGTCTCTCTAAAAGTAAGAATATATATAATACCTGCTTTGACAGTGTACTGATGATAGTGAATTACTTTATTAAAATAGCACACTTTATACTCATCTGTAAGAACTTAAAGTCAAAGAATTTAACTTATATCTTTATCTACAATATGATTCAGTTGCATGAATTATCTATGAATATTATCTCAGATAGAGAATCAATCTTTATAGAAGAGTTCTGATCTGATCTAATAACTATACTAAAGATCTCATAAGATTTAAGTATGACTTTTCATCAATAGACAGATGATCAGATAGAATATCTGATAAGTATATTAAAACAGTATCTGCAGTATTTTATTAATTACAATCAGAATAACTGAGTATATTAATTATCACTTACAGAGTTCATATATAATAACTCAAAGTATATCAGTATAGATAAAACTCTCTTTGACATACTTACTGAGACTTATTCACAGATAATCTTAATGAATCTGTAAGAGTATACTATAGAGTGTGATAATATCTGTGAATAAGCTGAGAGAATTCAGAAGATTCAGAAGAAAGTCTGTGAATTCTTAAGAAAGACTTAAGAGTATTAGAAGAGATACTATAACTTCAAGTATATTATAAAGAGTTTTAAGAAAGATAATAGAGTCTGACTAAGTCTAGAAAATATCATTATATAAAAATCTAGTAAGAAGCTGAATCTCTTATAAATA